TTTTCAATATTTCTCCTTTAAACTCAAGAAATTTTCTGTCCTTCCAACAAAACTGATTAACTGTTTAGATTTGTCCATACAGTAGAACCCCTCATATCCGGCCTTGGTTTTACCGGTCCTCTGTTTATCCGGCCCCTTCCAGGAAGCCAATATCAAAATTTTTTTTCTCACAGCTTACAGACGTTAAGATGCAGCCACTAGTCTTTGTGACTGCTCAAGTCATAAAATAAATTGTTCTCATTATTTATCTGTTTACATTTATTTGCTGAGTCACTATACTCAGTTGAGCTAGTATAGGCCTAACCTCTGATCAGTTGGTTGATTATTTCCAAAGTGGGGTTAGTACAGTACAGTACTAGTACATTAATTTTTGTATTTCACAAAATGGTTAAGAATGTTGAGTAGAAATGCATGTACCATTTAAGTCCTAATGATCTTTAAGTACAATTTATTGTCATTTTTACCTCCATTTAATAGGTTTTGTTACCTGGAATCATAATATTTGTACATTCATTACTTAATTACTTTAACCTAACCTACAAATATTTTTTTCTTTTTACAAACATGTCTATTTTTCTAAAAATGATCCCAGAACGGAATTAAATTATACTTTTGATTGCATATATTGATTACCTATTATTATTAGGTATGAATTATCATTTTCATAGTAGGTTGGTTTATCCGGCCAAATCGTTACCAAACATCAATATATTTACTCCCAAAAAGCTGGTGAGTTTCTTTTTATGTACAGCTGTTTTTGTTTTTAAATTTGTTCAATGTAATTCCTATGGGGAAAATGCGACCTTTGAGGGCGTCTCATGCCATTAAGGGTAAGAGTTTTAAAATTCTAAAACCTTAATGAAAAACTACGAATTGAGACAAATCATTTGACACCTCAAACGATAAAATCGGTCCAGAAATAACAGAGGAGTTTTGTTCTCAAAAAACAGCCCTCACGTATTAATATAAGAGATTGTTCAGTATCAACAAACAATTAAAAAAATATATTAAGTTTACTTATATTGAAATGAAACTGTTCTAAATTAACCTAATTAACCAAACTTGCTGTAACATTTCTAAATTCCGTTTGATAGCCTATTCCCCATGCCTTTTCTGTTATCAACGGAATTTTGAAACGGTAACTTAGCTTACGGCAAGTTTGGTTATGTAGCTATGTTTGGTTGGTTTAGAATAGTTTCATTTACTAACTTAATCCAATACCGGTATAGCCTATATTCTATTATTTTTGCCTAAGTAAACAAGGTTAGTTCTTAATTTTCTATTTAAATGTGTTTGAAGATATTAAAACAGAAGTAAAACAAAAATATATCGATATATCAAAAAGAAAATCATCGATAATAATGAATGTTCCCTTTTAACAGGAATGTACCTTGTTCGATTCATAACAAAATGAAGAAAGTCCTACAAATATATTAATTATAACCCAACAGAACATAACCGCCTCAGTGCGTTGTAAAATATGTGGCCTACATATTTATAATAACAAATGTAGCCGACCTCTTTTGTTATTAAAATGACTCTTATTAACTACAAAATAATTAATAAATGCACGCATATTAACTCAACACAAAATCTAATTCATGAATGTTTACAAAACAAAAAACAGTAGAAAACCATATGATAGTAAAAGTAGGTATAAATGAATTATTAACAGTCTTAGAGAAGACATAACAGTCTCCCCCACTATTTTGAACTTGCAGTGTATTATCATGAAAGCACAAAGTCCTTGTATCGGCCCGGCATTTGCCTTTGTCGCCTTGAACTCTCTTGATTCTCAGGAATATGGCCATTGTTTGTCTCTGTTTCCTGAACTTCTGGAACCTCTGAACTGTTTTCTTTGGAAGTTGGCGGTTTTTCGGGAATTGATGGTCCTTCGGGAGTTGACGGTCCTCCGGGATTTGATGTTCTTACGGCAGTTGATGGTCTTTCAGGAGTTGACGGTCTTTCAGGATTATCTAATTGATTATAAGGAGTAGCAGACGTAGTGTTTCCTTTGGTGCTGTGTTTAGAAGCCCGTGGAACATCAAATATGTGGATTGGTCCAGCCCTAACAACCTTTGGTTTTGGTATCAAAGTAGACCGCAATTGATCAATGTGTCGTTTTATAAGTCGGCCTGACGTATCAAGGGAAACTAGATAGTGTCGAGTTCCCAACTTGTTATTTACCTCTCCAAACTTGAACACTTCTGTTTGTTTAATGTGTAAGTCAAAATCTGAGAGTTGTTGAGGACAGGCCTGTAGATTTCTTTTGCACTCATCCATTGTTGAGCCATGGCAAATTATGTCATCAAAGTAGGCCTCGGTTTTAGGCAATCCCTTCAAAATTTGTGTATGAATTCGGTTGAATTCAGAAAGTGCTGTCTTTATTCCGAAACTTAGTATATTGACACGATATGTTCCACGTTGTGTTGACATTGTCTGGATAATACTGGACTCTTCGTCGACTTTGAGGTGCAGATAAGCTTTGTACAGATCAAGTTTGCAAAAGTAACGAGATCCTCTCAAACTATCGAGGACATTGTCAATTTTTCGAATAGGATGGTTTGCCTGGACTATTCGTTCATTCACACCACATTTGTAGTCGACACAGAGACAAACACTTCCATCTGCCTTAGGTATCACGACTAGTGGTGACCCCCAATCACTTGACGTAACAGGCGAAATGATTCCTTCATTTTCAAGTAATTCTAGTTCCTTGTTGACCTGATCAATAAGAGCATGAGGTACGTTCCGTTCACGGTTGAAAATAGGCTTTGCTCCTGATCGAAGATGTAATGATACTGTAAAGTTTGGAACGCATCCAATTTTTGGCTCGAAAATTGGCGCAAATTTTTCAAACAGTTCCTCAACTGAATTTACTGGTTGTAATTGAAGGGTAGTAGCTGGTCGGTTCATTTCAGCGTCAATTTCACTCAGTTCAATACCCAGTCCTCGGATCCATTGGCGCCCTAGTAGAAGTGCATCATGACCTGAAGGGACAATGTGAAGGTCACCTTTGAACTGTTTACCCTTGTATGATACAGAAACTGATACCTTTCCCTCTGGTTTGATTATGTCTCCAGAGTAAGAACGGAAAGCTAGTCTTGATGGTTCTACAGGTACGTTCAGATGTAGACGTTCAAAGTCATTCTTCGCAAGGAGAGAAAATTTAGCCCCACTGTCAACTTCAAAACATTGTAATCTTCCATTTATAGTGACAGAAACAATGTACTTGTCTGAATCATATCCAACTTCAAATAAATCTACGACATCAAAGTTCTGGTAGATCGAATCAATTTTGTGCACTCCGTAATCAGAAGAATTGTCACTAGAATAATCGTCATAATTTGATCCTGAATGTAGGTTGTTGGTTGAATTTAACTTTGATGTTGATTTCTTAGTCTTTGACATCAGTGTAGTTAATGCAGACCGCAGAGACATGTCCTCGTTTTAAACACTCCCCACATTGGAGTTTATACTTGTGTCTGTTACAATTTGCAGCAATGTGTTTGTTACTTCCACATCTAAGACAGAGGCCTTCTATTCCGAGGGCATTGAAGTCAGGTCTTTTGTCATTTGAACGTTGTTTCCAGTTGAGAGATGTCTTGTTGGATGAGCGATTGTTAGAGAACTGGTGGGATCGTCTGGAAGACCTTGTAATTTTGTGCACTCCAGCCGAATCCATATTAAAGTTGTTAGAACATGCATGTTGGTGAAATTCCTTGCTTTCAACCTTTGATGCTTCAAGGGCAATAGCTTTCTCTAGAATGTCATCAAACTTTGTGTAAACGGATTGTAAAAGGTGTTCCCTAAGCCAAATGTCCTTCAATCCTCGTATGAACTGTGCCCTCAAGAAAACATCAGCAATTGACACAGATGTTCCACATTCATCGTTGGAACATTCAACTGCAAATTCACATTCTTGAAGATCACGTCTGAGGTCAGGCCACAAACTCTGAAATTGACTGGTTTTCTTTTTGAAAGATATTTAAGAAATAATGTTGAGCAACAACAACACTTTTCTTTGGAATCAATAGTTTCTTGAAGTCATTCAACAGACATAATTTAATGATTTGAGTGGCTTGTCTGGGCCCAAAAATGCAGAGATAGGTTGTTATAATGTTCACTACCTATAGAATTACACAAGAGCTGAGCAATTTTCTTCTTATCAGTCAAACCTTTCATTGTATAATAGTTTTCAAAACGTTCTAAATAGCTGGTAAACTTTTCTTGTTTGGCATTGAAGTTTTCGAATGTAGCAACATTTGACATTGTAGATTGACAGCTTTCTTCTCTAGGTTTTCCAATTGATGTAACAATTGTTTGAATTTGAGCTTGAAACATGTTTGACATCTCACGTACAAGTGCTTTTTGTTGTTCATTGAATGTGTTTAGAAGTAAGGTAAACTGTTGTGCATCCATTATAGTTTGAACTGTATAAAATATTAATGTGTCTTGAAACTAGAAATTGAATGTAATTTTGAAAAGTAAATGTGTTGAATTTTTCAGTGGCTAGTTGATTTTCACACTTGTCGCCAATTAAAATGACTCTTATTAATTACAAAATAATTAATAAATGCACGCATATTAACTCAACACAAAATCTAATTCATGAATGTTTACAAAACAAAAAACAATAGTAAACTGTATGATAGTAAAAGTAGGTATAAATGAATTATTAACAGTCTTAGAGAAGACATAACAGTTATGAAAACTAGGTCAATCATAATTTAACTGTGTGTAGGCCTAGACTACTCAACCAATCAAAATAGATGATTGATGGCATGAGTTCTTTGTCTTTGTGCATGTGTAGGCTAATTTTTTTTTCAAATTGACTGATTGCCATCATTTCAAGACATGCTGTTAAAAAGCATACTCAATTTTTGTTTTTAACTACCGGTAAGTAAAATTGCATAAGTTACTTAGCATTTTATAATCTTAGTTTAAATTAACTGTTATTGTATTATAAAGTTGTTTTTTTTTAATGTTTTTCAATGAAGAGTGTGAGCAACGTACTGTGTTTGTCACAAGTGGGCCACATCCCTGCAATTGGCTTGGCTGTAGTTAATGCTTCATACCAACCAGTTGTCAAATTGTCAAGCACACAGTCTCCTTTCAAGCTACAAAAGATTCTCCAAGCCATAAAATCTTTTAAAGAGACAGTAAGTTCTTTTATTTTTGTATTTTATAACAACGATCTACCTATATTGTTGGTACTCATGCTCATGCTATAATTGTCTGGTTGTCAAGGGGTTATTGTGCTTGTCTTAAAAAAATGACGGTTGCTGTTTCTATCCCAAGCGGGGTTGATTCTGCCCCGGATGCTGTTTGGCATTGGCTTATCAACTATAGTGATCCATCAAAAGTTCAACGTTGGAGGAGATTAATAGTGCTTGCATCTCAACAGCCATTATTTGCATACCTTTACTCACATAAAATATGGCTAGGAACATTCTGGGACACATTTTATACAACCCAGATACTTGTCTCCCAACTGGAGATTTATAGTGTTAGTTACCTGTCTATTTGACTCAGTGCGGGTCTCTTTTCCAACTCTTGCACATTTAAAAATTTCAACTTTGAGCAACTCAAACTGAGTTCAATGTTTAGTTAATAGCAGTTGGTATTTTAATTGTGGTTTTACTACTAGGATTGCTTTTATAGTAGTGAAAGCCATAGACCAGTCAGCTAACATTATAAAAGGCAAAGTTCACAAAACATGGCGTAGACATGAGAGTAATGTAAAACCAAGTTTGCAGCTTCGAACGACCTGTGCTCGCGAGACGTAGGAATTGGCTAACTCAGGACTTCGCTAACTCGGTCGTGTGTCGGAACTGGCTAACTCTGGAACTGGTTAACCTTCTCAGTCAGGAATTCGCTAACTCCGGAACCCGCTAACTCGATTTTGTCTCGCGGCGGAATTCACTAACTCTGGAAGTTGCTAACCCGGCCGCGCTTACTGCACGGAGCATTGCCAACCTTGTACAACGAAATAATCGTACACTGCCGTATTTCAAAATGTCAGTGACAACAGAGGTGTATAGTCAATGGTGACAATGAAGTTACAGTAAATGTTATTGTTTTTTGTTATCAATTCCCCTTTTAACAGGTAACTAGTCCAAAGTAATTCAAAGACAATAAACAATCATGAAAAAGTGTTTTTTTTTATTTAACTGTGCAATGGCCAATTAAATGTTTATGGTTTCGATCTTTAATATAAACGCCATCAGTAGCCTATAAAAGAAAATAACGGAATATGAAAAATATTGAAAATTCAGTTTAATTGGTACTAAATAATTAAACCTCTACGAAATTCAGCTAAAATACACGCAAGTTCTCAAACACGGAAAACAAATTTAATCATAATGTCGTGTAATAAACCAAAACCATTAATTATTACAGTCATCAACCACCGTAACTTTCAAACCTAATTCATAGATTTAAAATTAAATGTTCGTCGTTGAATCTTCTAACTTACGTGTATAAATATGACATAGACTAAGTTTTATATAAATTAATAGAATAGCTGTAGGCCAAAATCTAGGCCTAATAGTTTAAACCAAAGCATTGTAGGCCTACTAGTAAATAGTTGCCTAATTCTAAAATGTGTTGAATTTTTAGTGATAATGTTAAATGTTACATGTTTTAAAACAGTTTTTAGATTGTACACCTAAGCACCACTAGTAAATAATAGGAGAAGATATAATATTCATATAATAAAACGTGACAGGGTTATTTTAATTCACGACTCTTAATTAACGACTTGACGGATTTTCCTGATTTGAGTGTGGGGTTTTATTATATTGCTTTTACCATCGAAATAAACTATACCAAGCCATTGCTCGGTTCCCCGTTCCCCGGTACTAAGCTACTCAATAGACAATAGCTTTGTTTTTAAATAAGATCAGGTAATTTTAGCTATGGTCACCATTCATAAAAATGGTAACAAACAAGAACGCCTGGGTCCATTTAGAACCGTAAACACTCAAGACTTTTAAAAAGTAGGCCTACTGAAAGATGTAAAATTAATAATAATTAAACAAAATTAAGAGGATGACCCGGGTTCTACACTAGCCTACGATAACAGAAATTTACAAGTTGTATTTATGCATAGACTAATTTTTATTGCAATCCATGAATACATTAGGCCTACCACTTTATAATGTATTGATCAATATTTATTTAAATTCAATAGCTCTATTTAAAAATACATTACCACTACAATGTATTTCTGTAATGACGTTTAACGTGTAAATTTTATCATAATTTATGATTTATGAGTACATTTCTCATCCTTATGGATCAGCTGAAGACAGTTGTATTGTTAGTTCTGTCCGGTGCACTGTATTTAGAGGTCGTGTTTTGTTTACAATTGTTTATTGTTTTCGGCCATTTAAAACCTCGTTTAACTAAATAAAACGTTTTAATCACAACTAAAAACACGTCCCCTAGACGTAGTAAATAACAACATATAGTGGTCGAGCTGCAGTACAAGGTACCACTAATGCTCAACGGTCAGTGCGCGCATTTTCCTTAGTCTATGCTTCAGGATGGAGCTTGTTGACAAGCTATAAATATAAACAAAATAAATATAAACAAACAGTAAATAAAAAATCATGAAGTTAAATATAAAATAATAGAAACACAATTTCGTCGACACTAGCGATCAGTGTCACCTGACATGAACTGGATACAAAAAACTAGCTTCAAAGTTTACAATGGGATACTCGTGTTGGCAACACGATGTGTTGGTTAGTTTATGGTAAGACTATAATGCATTTTCCACCCTAAAAATCATAAGAATAATATTAAACATACTTCTAAATATATTTATTTTATCGACAACGTTGCTCTTACTCCTAATTATTCGTAGAATACGACATTATGGTACCGATACGATATTGGTACTATACTTTCGGCAATACTGACCAAAAATCTTCGTGCTTGGCTCCCATTGGACGGCCCGCGAGGCTTCTGATTGGGAGTTAGCGAGTTCCGCCGAGGGACCGAGTTAGCGACTTCCGTACGTGGCTGGTTAGCGGGTTCCGGAGTTAGCCAATTCCGAAACCGAACAAGTTAGCGAGTTCCTGTCATCGACCAATTTTGAAGATAAGGCGTTAACATTGTTGTTATTATGGGGTTAGCGAGTTCCAGAGTTAGCCAATTCCGCGGACCCGTGCTCGCTGCTAGGTGGTCAAAATAACTCAATTTTCTTGTACTTTTTAGTTTTCTTTAATGAAATCTCGAAAATCATGTATTGTACGAAAGAAAGCGTTATAACCTTTTTTGAAGTAAATTAAATTCCGTACAATTTGGTATCAGTTTTCAGCTCTATCTATTATAGACTTTAAAATACATCATTTATAATTTTGGAATGTTCAGCAGTTGGGGGTAGACCCCCTATAACTATAAACTATAATGACATATTCAAAAGGACTGCTTATGTCGAGTGCTGTCGTTACGACAGTTTTGTCAGCGTCTACTGGGGCTACTTCAATTTTGATTCCTTCTTTTTCCATTCTGGAACAAAGGAAGCTGAACAGGTGCCGCTTTTTGTGGTCGCTGGACAGAAAAATTGTATTTCCAATCGTTCTATTGGGTTTGGATGTTATTTTTTAATTGGAATCATCAGCATATAGATAAAGCTGATTGTTGTTCTTACAAGACAGAACCTTATTTATATCTTTGAGATATATTATAAAAAGCAAAGGTCCTATAATATTGATCCCTGTGCGACACCATATACAAGGGATTAACACAAAAGGACAAAAGTGAACTGTACTACGCTTAAAATAAAACCACTGTTTTTAAGTTCCCAGTTTATCTTGGATTTTTCTTATATGTGCAGTTAAAAATACAGTAAAAGAGTGTTTAAATGTTTTAGAACATTTTTTTAATGTGAAGAAGTTATAAGTTTTCAGTATAAGTTAATTTAAATAGCTATAAACACATAAACTCATTGCTTCCTACAAAGCATATGGCTACATTCTAAACTTACCTAAAGTTGGTTATCAAAAATGTTCATTTAAAAACTTACTTATTATATCCTACAAATAACATTGGGCACTAGTGTATCAAAAATCAAAAGACTTATTTTATTATTTTATTTAAAAATTGAAAATCGAACTATTTCATTGCATAAGTTATTAAAAACAAACATAACTCTACAAGATAACTGATCAAACTTGTCAACAAGCTCCATCCTGAAGCATAGACTAAGGAAAATGCGCGCACTGACCGTTGAGCATTAGTGGTACCTTGTACTGCAGCTCAACCACTATATGATAACAGACTTTACTTATCTGCCACTAATGCTTAGATATCCCTGATAAGAATTTTTCTCCAATTGTCATCACACTTTGTGAAATTCTTAAAGATAATTAATTATGCAGTTGTCTGATTATTGATTGTGATCTCGAATGTGTTTAATGATTAAGTTTTTCTACTGTTTTAAATGCTAGAGGGATTTTTGCAAGCCAAACGGTTGAATCTAGAGATGGCAAATCTACAGGAAATAATAATTGAGTCTAATGACAACCATGGCTTAATGCAGGACTATATAGCTAAAATATGCTTTGAAATAAATTTAATAAAATGCAATAATCCTGAGGTGAAAATGGAAAATCTTGTGTCCGGCCTGGAATCACTTATTAAACACTGTGACGGTGTCCTATTAGACAGTGAAGAAAATAAAAAAATACTTGACTCGTCTCGAAGGGACAGCGCTATCTTGGAGTCTAAACTAGTTTTACAAAAAAAACAAAGGTAACAAGATTTAAATCACTCATTTCATCTCCAAGAACAATAAAAAGATGAAAAAATGCAATTAATGAAACAATTAGCAGAAATCGAAGAGAAACTTAAATCGAATGCTGAAAAATACAACTCATTACTTCATGAAAATAGGGAAATTGTACAGAACGTGACTAAATTAAAATCTACAAAGGACTCCCTAGAAGAACAGTTAAATAAAAAAACTTCAAACATTGCGAAATTGAAATTTCAACTTCAAGCAGTCTCTACAGAGTTATTAGTCCACCCTAAAAATCATAAGAATAATATTAAACATGCTTCTAAATATATTTATTTTATTGACAACGTTGCTCTTACTCCTATTCGTAGAATACGACATTATGGTACCGATACGATATTGGTACTATAC